GTCCGGGCCCTTCCCCCCGCACGCGAGCGCGCCGATCTTAACCGATCTTTTCTCTCTCTCTCTCTCTCTCTCTCTCTCTCGCTCTCTCTCTCTCTCTCTCTCGCTCTCTACCGGGACAGGAGAGGCAAGGCGAGCCCTATATACCCCTCCGCGCGCGCACGCGCACCCGCGGGTCACAGCGGGGTTTTAGAATCCGCCTGAGGTTTCTTCCCCCCGGGCGGCTCGGCTGTACAAAGTGTAGCTGCCAAGGATCCCCCTCTACTCAAACAGCAAGCTGCCGTGCTAATGCAGAACACTGCTGGACAAGGACTCTTGTAAGTGCACACAACTCAACTTTGCGGGGGTCCTCTATTGCCCTCCACTCCTCACAACTTGCAGTTTCCCGGTACTAGAAGCAGATATCAGAGTGCCCCGCCTTAAACATTACCACACGACTGCAAACTGCAACTGCAAGCTGAGGCTCCGGCCGGCACACAAGGTCTCTAGTTACAAAGCAAGGCGCGTGTGACTAGGAGACCTCACGAGTACGATTAGCACATGTCCCCCTCATGTTGCCTGCAAAGTGGCTAGGACAAGGCGCTCAGCAGAGTGTAACAACTTGTCTGCCCCACTATGTTGGGAGGAGAGGTGTTGGCTGGGTGCGTCCCCCAACAGGAGCAGTTGCCACGGTGACTTGTAGAATTTCCCCCCCATACATACATACATACATACATACATACATTTTTTAGCACTCGCACTCGGCAGGGCAGGCGAGGTACCGGGGAAACCAGATCCACAACGACCTACGCAGGGATCGCACCTTCTGCGACCCCCTCAAGGGAGATCTTCTCGATCACCACAGCAACCCAGCGGTATTCACCAGGTCAGCAGTACTTTTCGAGCAAACCAGCTTTACACCACAGTACTCACCCCAACAACAATCAGACAGTTTGCATTTCAGCACTTCGGCACTTGGCAGTTCAACACAACATCTCTTGCTGTACATGGCTCAAGGTTCTCACTCACCTACCTCAAAGCAGCCCGATGCTTGCAGACACTCTCAACTGACCGGTCACCCACTCGTTCCAGTTTGTGCACAACTTGTCCAGCCCGCAGCCATAGGCAGGCTTTTGGCAGTCGAAGCAGGAAAAACTTATATAAGCAGGCTTTTGGCAATCCACGCAGGAAAAACTTGTAGTGTCCCACCGCAGGTGTCACAGTCCCACATGTCCATCAGAGGGGCTGGGAGGCCTGCAAATAGTCAGCAAGCCATAGCACATACCACGCTTGCAGCAATGTCGCATCAGTGCACGCAACACTCCGAGCAACACTGCCTGGAGCATGGTCATTGTCATCTTGCAATAGGCACTTCACACACGAATGTAGGAGCGCGGGATGTCGCGGGGGCCCAAGGTCACCGGCACCGCCATCCATAGAGCCTAAGGTCTTCAGTTCTCTTCGTATGGCCTGACCTGGAGCTGTCTTCTTTCACGGTAGGCCATGTCCCACGTTGAGCGCCACATCGTCCAGCGACCAGAACACGAAAAACAAATGTGTCCTGCAGTTACCGTGCCGGTGTCGACAGGCACCCTCCTCAAAGGTGGCGTCTGCCCACACTGGCTGTCAGCAGACACTGTGCATGCTTGCATGCTGGCGGTCCTGTCCGCAAGGGGCGGAGTTCGATTTCCCTCCACGAGGGAAGTTCCAGGGGGGTTCATAGTCCAGGTCCTCTGATGTGGCATCTATGGTCCCCCGTCAGTGGTCGTAGTAAGCATCTCTGAAAGCCAGGGGCAATCCACGTCGGTTGCCGCGTTGTTCAGCGAACCAGGCACCAGGAGAACCTGTGTTTTGCACGTGTTTGGGATGGTGTCGGCAAGCACCCTCCCCAATGGCGGTGCCTGCCGACCCAAATACATACATACATACATACATACATACATACATACATCTTTCAACAACCCACGTTATCGGGTTCCCCGCCCTTCCCACCTTGTTACAAACTCTCGACACGTCAGCTTTGCAAGAAACTTCTACCACGTCAAAACCTGAGAAATGCAACTTGTCACGCAAGGGCTATTGCAAAAACACCTCTGGCGGCACGCTTTTCAATCGAGAGCTGCCCTGTTTCAAGCATAAGATGTTGAGCCCCCCCTGTGCTTATGCTTGTTGTGCCTTTGAGCGACATGCGCGAATGGAGACGCTGTTTCGCAGCTACGACCACGATGCACGCCCACACAGCGACTTCCTGAGTTGCTGCTGGAAAGCACTTGCACCATCTCGTGCCATCTACAGTAGTAGTATCTAGTTCTGCAAAGTGCCGCTGGAGACCAAGCTCGGGACGATTAGGTTCAGAACGCCGAACACCAACGTCAGCAGCGAGCCACAGAAAATGATTGCTGTGGCTGGATGCTGGCGGATTATAGGCACAGCGATCTTACCCCAGCTGTCCCCGGCAATCACAGTCTTGAACAACAAGAGATTGGCTTCCATGACAGCAGAGGTAGACAAAACACAATCCGGGCAGTCATGTGCAATATTGGGCATGTCGCTGGTCTCCAGGCTTTCGATCTCCTTCATGATTGGATGAACGAACTCGACGATCAGCATGCCCCAGACAGTCATTATCATGAAGCAAAAGACAAACGACCAAAACAATGCTTTCAAGCATGTAGCCATCATGCGCACCAGCTTCTGTAATTCTCGGAAAGCTCGAAGGCGTTTAAGCAGCCGAGCCAATCGAAGGACCCGGACCATTCGCAGAATGGGAACAAACCCGATGTTGAGCATGACATCAGCCGCAAAGTTGTGAAGAAATAGCTCGGTGTAGCCCGCAACAATAATGAATATGTCAAGCCGCAACATCCAGTGCCGGAAAGCCTGCCACACCCCCTGCACTATGCAGATAATCAATACTTCCCCTGTGTACAGACCTAAGCACACGTTGGACAGAAGAGGGTATATTTTGGGAGTCGCAAGCTCGCTGGCTCTGTAATCGATATCCACAATCGTGCAAAAAGCATCTGCCAGGATGACCACGGTCATCAAGTTAGCGACATAAACACTTCGCATAACTCGGTTCGCCTGCCTCCTTTGCGATGCCCACTTCGCATCATGATGGGTCTCTTCCTCCTCGCTGGCTTTGATAAAATTGCTGCTGACAGATATGCTGACATTTCTCCGCTCTGCAGATCTCTCTGCCGGCGAGGTTATGCTTCTCTCGCTGACTATAGATTTTGGGCTGGCTACATCCATCGCCAAAGATCTCGGACTGGCTGAGTCTGTAGCCATTGCGGTGGAAAACTTGCCTCTACACACCGTGGCACGCTTGAGAAGGTTTATGTCGTGGCATAGTGCGTTGCTTGACACCACATCAAGCGCATTCTTGCTTTCCGTCATCATGTGCCTGACACACGTATGGACCGCGGACTGTTGCGTTTCGATCGCGAGATGTCCAATCCACACAGTGGTCGTGACCGCGTGGCCGGCGATGTAACCCCTCTTCGAGGACTCACACCATGGCAGGTAAGAACAGTCTCAGCTGCCCTCATTCAACGAAGCCTGGCAGAGCAACGACGTACTGTTGACAGGCTCGGCCAGGTGGCCAGAAACATGGACACCGATGCAGCCGCAACCACATCACAATTAGTCGGGAATCACCATGCAGCACCTAAGGAATGCTAGCTATGACAGCTAGAAACGATATGATGCAAGCGAGGTCAGGGCTGGCAACCCCGAAAGGGCCCCTCTGGAAAATGCTGACCCGGTGTCAGCCTTATGGATAGGACTGCATCTTTGCCTTCGACAAAGCAGTCCAAGAATGTCCAAGACACTCACCGGTCTCTCGTGAGGGACCTCTGCCTGTGTGAGGCGATGTAAATGACGGTAAACACAGGCCGTATCAGGCCCTGTATTTCGGTGCAAAAGTGGGCAGCCATGCTTTGCCTGCTTCGCACCTGTTTTGTTGCAATGTGTCTGTCGAAACGCAAAGTATGTTGCAGCAAGCTTGCCCGCTTTTAACAGGGCCGTGGCCAGGAAGATGCGTGTGAAAATCAGTTGCTGCTCAGGCGACGTCTTCTCTCGTTCGGCGAAGGCCTTGTTGAAAGTTCAGAAACAGGCTCTTGCAGCACGAGATGAATTAGGGCGGCTACACCGTTACGACATGTCTTCCAGGAGCATAAGACTAGCCGGGTCCCTCCTTCAGCAAAGCTCTCCCTAATATGTTTTGCTGAGGCACTCGGTCGGTGGAGCTCGCGAAGCGTGAAGCTTTCGCAACGCACCAACATCGATGCTGGCAATAGGGTCATGCCTGCCACAAGTGCTGTGATGTCCCGAGGTTGAACTGCACGTCCGTTTCATGTCCGCGTAGGGCTCTCTTTGTCCTCTGCGCGGCTCAGGCCCCGGCCTTCGCCACGTGCTCGTGTCGCAACTGTCGCCACCATCATCTGAATGAGAGACTCGCCTGCACAGGGCACATCTCCAAACAGCGGCTTTGAGATGATCGCGACTCTCTTTAAGCGTTTTGGATCCCTGCACCTCCATCGCTCGGAGATGGCCTCTGCTGGTTGCCCGGCACCTGGAGCGTTGAAGAAGCCCACGGGACGCCTTTGGAACTTGAACTTCGGGGCCGTCGCCGGCGCCGGGAGAGCTTTGGAAGTTTGAGACGACCCGGATGGACCGGGTGCGGATGGACCGGGAGAAGCTTCCTCCTTGGAGCCTGCTCGGCTTGCCCGTCTGTTTCTTTCGAAGATGTTGTTCTCCAGCTCGGGAAATGTTGGAACACGCCTTGAGCTGCGCTTGTGCGGCCTGGCTGGCTGCAGAGCGCCGGCTTTGCCGTCCTTCAAGGCAGTCTCCACCACGGCCTCCAAGCTGCCCACCGCAAGCTTGAGCGCCTCCTGAGGATTTGGCTGAAACAGTTCAGCCAGCATTTTTGAACAAAAGAGAGCACCAACACTGCAGACCTTTAAACACGTTCTCAAGTTCTTTTGGGAGGGGGTAGCCAGGTGGGGCGCGGAGGTCGGAACAGGATTTGTGCCAACGTCCAAAGGGGTTCAAGTTTGGACCACCCTCCGCAACATGGTGAACTTCGAGCGGCCAAGGCCTATGCTTTCAAGCGATACACTCGCAGTAAAGAGAAAGTTCATTCCAGCCAAGAGATATCAATTAATGTGCAAAGAAAAAACGACTTGAATCGTCTGGCCTGCAATTCTGATGATCCTTGGCGAACTCCAGCCCGGACTTCTGACTGACTGCCCAACAAAGCGGGTTTTGATGCATGGGGCTGCTCCACTTCAGCATCCACTTCCTGCGCTTCTGCAAGCTCTGCACCCCCATCTGCACACTCCATTTCCTCCGTCTCTACCGACTGGAGGCCGATGCTACTAAGGCCCGCCTGGGCCAGCATTCCGATAGGACCAGGAGCGACCCTCGCCAAGGAATCCGACAGCTCCTGGATGCGAGTATCTAGGATGTCGAAATAGGTTTTGGTCAAATCGTAGAGTTCTTCCTGCTGAGTAAGTGATCGAAGCACGTTGTACTTGATGAAGCGGGGAGCCGTCTTCGAGTCGTGTACCCATCTGGTCAAGGGAGCGATGAATTCGGCTGCAGCGATCTCGCCCTCGCCGTTTACGTCGATCATTTCGAACAACTGCAACAGGTCACTCTCGTCGATGTCCATTACCCGCAGGCGACCTCATAGTTTGATTGTGTGGCACCGACATTTGCATCTTGCTGTTCGGCTCGCAGTGGCTGCAAAAAACGTCTTGCGTCTTGCAGCATCAGCAGCGTAGTCATTTTTGTCATCTGGCTATCACCATGATCATGGTCACAGTCGCAGTCGCCATCACCATAAACAGCCGCAGCAGCAGCAGCAGCAGCAGCAGCAGAAACATCCTCAGCATCACTATATCACTACACTACAAGCATGGCACATTCTTGGGCAAATGCCATCATATGCCATGATAACATGCATCACCTCTGTAACAAGATAGTCGAAACTGCAAGCACCTTCATAAAGAATAACGGCAAAAGCAAGAACAACAGCAGCAGCAACAGCGACAACAATAGGAACAGCAACACAATTGCAACATATTGCAACGTCACAAACAACAACATTAACATCAGCAATAACATTCACATCAACATTAGCAGCAACAAACTCGACAAAACAAAACAGCATCGACAAGAACAAGAGCAGGACCAACACAAATACATAATCAGACTCTCACAACGGCGCTGCAGGGGCTGGGTGTGTTGAACCACTGAATCGCAGCTTGATCGAATAACTGGCTATATCCCAGCAAGAGCCAGTAAATTTCCGACGCTGAAAAACATCTCTTCAGGTAAACGGGAAAGAAGCAGGGTAAACCAATTACCTACAACGTGCCGTTGGCATCAGTTTGCTTGTGAATCTTGGGCCCCAGGCTCTGAAATTCAGGATCTTTACGCGCCCCCTCCAGTAGCTCCTCAAAGGTCACTTGTCCACTTCCATCGGCGTCGATCCGCTGAAAAATGTTCTCCAAAAATTTTTGGTCTGCTGCATGGTTGTATTCCATCTCCTCCGCCAAGTTAAGAACATCCCGCTGTCTAGCCTCGGCGAAAGTATCCACCACGACAGCTACCTGATCAGAAGCTTGGGGCACAGACGCGACCGCTCAAAAGAGGCTTCTATCACAGGAAACTTTAGCGCATACAGCGACATTAAGTCTGGCATTGGATCATTAGACATCATGCACATGAAGCGCAGTAAAGCAACTCGAGCTGACTTGAGCTGAGATGCAATCAGATTGAGAACACCGAAGACGAGTGTCAACAAGGACCCGGCAAAGATGATGGCGGTTAAGGGAAATGCTTCTATGACCGGAACGGCGATTTCGCCCCAGCTGTCACCGGCAATCACCGTTTTGAACAGCAGCAAGTTCGCATGCAAGACTGTGGATGTAGCTCTGAAGCACCTGTCACCACAGCCTTCTGTCTCAAAAGCATAGGCCAAATCGTCCGTCTTCATAAGAGGGTGGACAACCTCTACTATCAAGAGCGCCCAAATCGTCATGATGATGAACAGAAAGACCAACGACCAACCTAATGTTTTTATGCAGGTTGCCATCATCCGCACTAACTTCTGAAGTTCGCGGAATCCGCGCGTCCTCCGCAACAGCCTCGTCAGTCGCAATATCCGCACGAGTCGAAGCATCCGAAACAGGCCAAACTGCTGCAAGAACTGGCCGTACCCTGCATGGTGAAGAATCGTTTCGAGATACCCGCATGCAATGACCACAAGATCGGTTATGACCATCCAGTCCCGCAGAACTTCCGTTCCTTTCGCGGTGAGAAGGCAGATCGTCTCGAGCGAATAAACCAGCAGGCACAAGTCCGCGATAAGCTGCGTTGCAGGTGGAGGCTCTTCTGTGGCAGCACGTGCATCCACGTCGATGCAAGTGCAAATAGCATCCGTTAAAACTATGGCTGCCATAAGATTGGCCACTGTCCGGCTGGTGGAACAGTAAACGGCAATGCCCTTCAGAACACCGCAGAAGCTACTTGTGTCAGCAAAATATCCATCGTTGAGAGTGGCCGTTTTGGCCTTCACGAACTTGCCTGACACGGTCGACTTCCTGCGGGGAGATTTGTCTTAGATTCAGGCATTACTACATGCTGCTGGCCCCTTGGACAACGGTCACGCTCGCTCTTGTCTTGTCCTCGTCTTGTCGCCAGATCTGCCCAACTCTAACTTGGAGGACTCGAACCTTTCCGCCAAACTGGCCTCGCTCCTCATCCTGCCCGTTTTGCAATCACCAGCAACAGGAAGAGTTCATTCTGCCGTCCTGCCGGAGAGCGCCGGAGAGCTGTGTGCTGGAGAGCATGATGGGGACCGTTCACCTCGACTCCGCAACGAAGCTCACACGACAAGTGGGCCATTGCTATGCTAACGTTTCTAATGAAGCGAGCATCCACTGGTTTGCAGCACGCAGTCGTCCAGCTCATGCTCCCGTGACATGGCGCATGCGGCGTGCAATGCCACCCTGCTACGCAATTGCAACGCTGCCGGCTATGTGGGACAGCTGCTGTGAGCACGGCTACGGGCAAAAGGAACGCTTGGAATCTGGTTTCATGAACAACGTGCCTTCTCTTCAGTTCGCACTCCTGTGCTATGTCGGCATGCTTGCCCACAAGAAGTGGCGGAAAGTCGTGACATCCTTGCTTGACATTCCTAGCCCAGACATGTGTGCGACTTATGCTGACGGGCATCTACTCCGGAATTTTTGCCCAGGTCCACCAGATCCTTCTGGGGATCGCGAACGACCTTTCACAAGAGCTAGGGGTGCTCTGGCTCCTGCTTTCCTTCTCTGCGGCCAGGTCTGAGGGCGTCTCTATCTAGATCAATTGTCCTACCATTCCTTGCCATCTCACATGATGGAAAGATAAGAAGATCACTTCGGTGACGATGGAGGAGGGCCTAGCATGACTAGCTCGCAAGCGAAATCGAAAGCCAGTCAACAATTGGCCGACCGATTGATGGCAAAAACAAGCTTGGGAAAGCGGGAGCACGGCGCAGTATTTATCATGCACGACTCCGTGAGAATGAAAGCGAAACAACCGCCACCGCAACCAAATTCATGGCTGAGCCAAGCTACCGGAGTGGGCGGAGGCGTGGGGGTGTCCTTCAACATCTCTCGAATGGTATGGCTGACATTCTGCAGCGCCTCGGATCCTGACAAGTTGTGGCTGGAGGTGAAGTCTTTCAAAAGAAAGGCATGCCTTTCCATGTCTGCTGGCCGATGGCCCTGTGAACATTCGCGACAAAAGCACCGGTCCTTTGCCATTTATGGCCGTGTCCAGCTCGGTGCAAATCAAGCCCTGCGGCTCAGAGGTTAGCAGTGTGGTCCGCTGCTCACAAATCTGCATTTGTCTCGCCAGGAAGCCGTCAAGCGTTTGTTCAGGGCAGACTGGATCAAGGGCTTCAGCCAGTCGAGCACCGAACCTGGGAAGTCGAGCTCGACCTGGCAGTTTGTTGTTTTGGATCGGACTCTTGGGTAGATTAGCAATGTGGTGAGAATCTTACTCAATGATTCACTGTCACACACACATTGTTGCACACTTCGTGGCACGGCCGCAATCAAACTCGAAGTCCTAGCAGATCCATTCTGGTCCGGAAGAGCGAGTAGAAGCAGTTGGAATATTTGATAACGTCAACATCTGCACTCTGCATGGTGGAGATCTGTCGTCCCTGACTTCCCTACAAGTAGTACCGAACTGACGGCATCCCACGGAGCTTGCAGGGACGAGCTTCAGCATTTCTAGTCCCTACTTGTAGGGCCCACATCGCCTGCACTGGGCAAGGTGCTGTAGGCCCCAGTACCCGAAGTTCGTCTGCCGGCTACGGTCACGCAGTGCATGGTGGCATGCGTGCCATGCACAGGCTGGAGCATGCAAGTTTGGCCCATGCTCGACACCTGGGTGTTCATGGACGGACGCCGCCGGCTTGCCAAGTGCGTCATCAAGCAAAGCAGACTTCTGTCAGGTAGCCATGTGAGGGTGGGTGAAAACCCCCACCATTTTGCTTGACCCTCAACATGGTCATCGTGTTATTTTACTCTCATCGTTTTACAGGACTTTGGGACTGTATTATCTGAGCTAATGCTACGAACATTTTGCTCTTATCGCTTTACAAGGAGTTCGATTGCACTCAAGATACGGACGCATCTACTTGAACAAATGCTCTCGGTTTTTTTGTCATCATCCCTCATGTTGAACATTGGCATGGAGGACATGCTCCATACACGGAGGCGGAGTTTGCTGGGCTTCTTAAAGACGCTAGCTTTCCAGGTGCGCGTCATCAAGCAGAGGCTGGTCAGGCGAGGGCACCTGGATCATCGCACGCAAAGCTGGCACATGCTGCACGTCACCTGATGTGATGGCGTTCATGGGCACGTGTCACACGCTGTGAAAGTTGGCAATGTGGAACATTGGTATGGAGGGCACGCTGGCATACTACACGGTACAGCAGAGGAGCTGGCTTCAAGAAGACGCTGGCTTTCCGGGTGCGCATCATCAAGCAGAGCAGAGGCTCGTCAAGCGAGGGCATCTGGATCATCAATTTGAAGAGCGACTTTGTCTTTGAGTGTGGAAGCCCGACGGCTTTCATGCTGCTGTTAAGTGAGCACTGTCGCTGATTTTATCGCAGTTGCTTGGATGTCCCCAATTTCACCTTGACGAAGGTGCTTTGACATTCTGGGTATGTTAACTGTGTAGGGATGGGCTCATCCGATACCCATGAGGAAGATCCTGCACGTCTCAGGTCCGTTGCTGTTTCACCCCATTCGGATTGTACTTTCTGGTGCTTTGATAGCCAACTACGGAATACAAAGCATGTTAGACAGATCCTTCTGGTGACAGCCTGCTTGGCCACCAGCTGATGCTTTCATGGTCGATTATGTAGCCTATGTTTGATCACCCAGGAATACTGCACCACACGCTACTAAGTAGATCGTGAGCGCATACTGGGGATTTGCACATTTGGCAGCACAATCACTCAAGAGTTCGTTTTCTTGCGAGTCGTGCGTCTGATCCAGACTCTATCTCTACCTAATAACGAGTCCTCCCTATTTGTAGTAGGACTAGCATGTGGAGCTCTTATGTTTATTTGTTGCTCCTGATGCTTAGTTATCTCAACGAAATCGATCGGACGTGCAGATTGCGACAACGGAACGGCGGAGGCGTGCTAGTACAAGCCCACAGCTTATACAGCTCGCAGCCTTAATGCTGCCAGCGCAGTCTTTTGCTTTGATGGCTGTAGGCAGCGGGGGCTGAAGGCTGTCTGCCACCTTAAGTGCAAGATGCCACTCTGGGCTCGGCCGGTCACAACTCAGAAAGAACTGGGCTTCCGGCAATTGTGAGGGGTCCGCCCAGTACGCCATCTTTCACCTGTGCCACAACCTGAGCTGGTCAAAAGGCAGATGAAGGCGTTACTTAGTCCCATCCTGCACGTTTCGCTACGCTTCCCCCTTGATCAGACTAAGCCTCAAGCATCACCATCGAAGTGCACCGAACTGATCATGGTTGACTGTGCATTCCAGTGCAGGGTGCAATGGATGCTCAAGCCGGAAGCCTTGGGGAATCCAAGATCTCTGAGCTTCCGCATTTGTGGCTCGCAGCACGGGACGTGTGTTGTAGAGTAAACACGAAGTGAACGAGCAAACACACTAAAACGAAAACCAAACTCCACAGCTGGATTCATCTAAGCAGCTGTGATGTTCAAGCCACCATAAACTGCTCCGGTGTGAACATGCACCAGCGCGAAGTTGGTACACAGCCCATTTGATATCGTGAAATTGAAGCCACCTGGGCAACAAGCTCTTGCAAGCCGCTACAGAATGCAACGTGGGCTCGGGCACACCTCGAACGTCAGAGAACACCGGAATCTGAACTCGAAGGTTCCACAGCCATTTCTCCAGCCAGCTCCTTTGACGAGCAAGCATAGCTGGGGATCGCTGTAACAACTGCTTTTCGGACAGTGACATACATTGATCCAAAGGCACTGAGACCGCACCATGCTTAGGAGTTCCAGCCCGCCGGCGACCGTCTCAATGAACCTTTTCCTGGCTGACCAGGGCGAGTTCGGTTGGTCAGAAAGAAAAATTGTAACTTGGAGAATCTGTCCGAAGCTGTTTCTGCAGCATTCGTCAATGCAAGCCGCACAGGTCCTATGCCAGCATTTCGACATGCGTTCGTGCTTCTTTGATCGCCGCGGCCACGACAACACAAGAGATCGCCGAACCCAAACAAAACATACCATGCACCAGGCATTTCGATGAGCTCAGACAATGTGTAGCTGCTAGTCCAGGATGCTTGAGCACTTCTGCTTGCGGGCCGAGGTCTGAATTGCGTCATCATCAATGAGTGCCTTCTCGATTGCCTTGGTCAGGCAGCGCTGATCCACCCTCTGCTCGCTGGTTCGCATGCACAAGCGGCCGCGGAGAAACAGCAACCCGGGCCAGTTGTACATGACAAGGTACAGCTTCTCCAGTGAAGACATGTGGAGCCAGCGCGCTTTGTGACACTCTCGCGCCCCAGAGCAAGCACGACCTAGGCCCAACCGAGAACCACGGACTGTCATTCAGCTGAAGCTTCATAATACAAATCCGAAATACCTAATCATATGTCAGGAACAAGTTACGGTCATGAACGGAACAAGTTACAGTCCACGGACGCAGTCTGTTACTGTGGCCAAATCATGGTTTTGGCGTTCAGCCGGCGTCGACTAAAGAACTCCCCCAAGCAGCCACCGGTAATAATACCGAGCGGGGTGTGGGGGTTCCACAGTGGAGTTTTATGGGCTTGTGGTCGTTCTTCCTCCATTGAGTGCTCCCCGACAAGGACGCACGAGTACGACAACGTGGTCTCTCCAATCCCAGGAGTTAGATTTCCACTTAGTTGGGATTTAGATTGCCCTGGTTGCCGCTGGCTGTCTGGGCGGCTGGCTGGTTGTCTGTCTGTCTGTGTCTGTCCGAAGGTTCAGGTCAGCATGAAGCAAGGCTTCAATGCGGACACATGTGGCCGCCGCACAGTGACCCTGTGTGGAACCCCTCTGTGTCTGTCTGCCTCCTGCTGGGGTTTCTTTCTTTCGCAGGGCCTAGGCCTGGCTGGCTGGCTGTCTGCCTGCCTGTCTGCGTATCTCTCTGTTTGCATATGTTTACAGAGAGGTATGTAGCTGGCTGCCTCCACAGCCTGCTGGCACAGTGTTGCCAAGCAGGCTCGTCCTCGAAACCCATACTGTTGTGGTGCACTCACTCTGGGCATTGGTCGTGAATTCCTGGCCTTTGCCTAAAGAGTGCAAGGTGTGAATGGAGGATGTGTGGATTCACTACAGGCCCCTGTGCTTGCGTCCAGTTCGAGGACCCACTGCCGTCTGGCCTGTGCGCTTCGGCGTCTGTGCGGGCACTGGGGAGTTCATGGATGCTTGCATGCGGTGGCCGGTCAGGAGGCTCCCGAGATGGCGGAGGGGAAGGTTTCCTTTGGCAGCCGTACCCTGCGTGCCGTCCATCCATCCATCCATCCATCCATCCAGAGAGGTATGTATGTATGTGTATATATATATATATTCATATTTATATGTAGATTTAACTATTTATTTACTTATTAAATCTATTTATCTAATTTATGTATGTACGATTTATGCATGCGTGACGAGTGTGAGTGTGAGTGTGAGAGAGTGAGAGAGGAGAGAGTGAGTGAGTGAGTGAGTGAGTGAGTGAGTGAGTGAGTGAGTGAGTGAGTCAGTGAGTGAGTCA